ATATGTCTGTATTCGTCGCAGTCCTAATTTAAAATTATTCTCATGTTTAACAAATGTACATTACATCAATCTTGTTATTGTAATTAGCGAAATACAGAAAAAATATTCAATAATTGAACGTTTCTTGCATATCTCGTTTATATCAATGATTTAATGAGAGAAAGACGTGAAAAAATGTTTGCACGTTTTATTTAAATTGTTAATCAATTCTTACTCTACATAGATGAATGCACTATAAATAAGAACATGCACCTATACATACACAAAAACTTTGTATCAGAAAAATGAAAAATCTTAGTAGCGTAAGAACATAACCTTATATTTAAGTATTTAAAATGTATTTTCATGTAATTTACGGTATTAATTTCTTTAAAAAATACGCTATGTTCGGTGAAGATTACAAATGAAACAGGACAGGTGTTCCATGGTCATGTGTGCACATAACCTCTGAATCTAAGAAAATTCATATTAAACAAAACACTGGTGCAATTAAAAAAAACTGTTGATTAATGTAAAACCGTTTCCTCGATGTTAAGTTTTTTCGATGTTTCTCGTTTAAATTAAGGTAAATCATTATTGGAAAAATCATAACACGTGTAAATATCTATTAAAAATAAGACGAATCTATACTTATTTTATTTCTTCAACAAAACCATTAAAGTAACGTTATAAAATGCATAATCTAATGCAAGAAGATATAACAGAAATATTTATGGGATTTTTAAAAGTTAAAACAATCACTGTACGAAAATACAAAGGTGCTAGGAAAAAGATGTTTAATACCTATAGTCCATGCAGTACAGGATTTTTACTATAAGTGTGTGTATAATTTTGTGTGTATACGTATAAATGTGTGCATGTTATTAAGATAGAAACTTTTATCAGGAATAAGTACCACATTGTATTACATTAATGAACCTCATCTCAATAGCTAATCCCATACAGTTAAAAATAACTTGTTTCCCATAACAGGTACTGTCTAATGTCAAATGTATGCGCATGTAAAGGTTTGCATCAATATATAAAAAAGTATAAATTTGTCATTCAATAAAATGTATCGTGCTTTCAATGTTAAAGGCTATAGAAAAAGGATCTAAAAAGTTTTTTAAATTTATCCGTTCAAAAAACGATTAAAACGTTCTAAAAAAATAGAAGCAGCAATCTGTTAGATACCAAACAAAAATTATTTATTGATTTAACAAAAAAGAATATAAGATATGTACTTTAGTCTGATACGTTTTTCTTATAATTAAATAGGTTATGGATTTAAATAAATTTTATTTTCTGTCCGATAAATAGAGAAGAATGCTTCAAATACCGAAGTACAATGTTTTTTCAGGTTTCTGACAGCCAAAAAAAAGTGCTTTTAAAAGTAAAATTTAACAGAAAAAAGGCAAGATGGGGATGTCCTTAAATAACATTCTGTCTTTATCGATAGAAAGCCAGTAGATTTCCAACTTCACCATAATGATGTACATATATGTACATACACCTTATTTGCATGTACTGAACAGATTTTTTAACCCTAAGAAATGGATCCTTGTAGCCTATTATCTAAGAAACAAAATGAGCCCAAAATTAGGTGGATGGAGTAGGAATTCGTAAAAAGTAGGAATTGTAGCCGTTTTTGGGTTTTCTAAAATAAAATGAAATGAATCTTACTGCAATTTGTACGAATTGGTTGATTTTTTATTCGCCGCCATCTTTGATCCAACGTTCTGAACTTGGCTAACTGGACCCCAGGTTTGTAATCAGCGACCCACAATCACCTTGTAAACTATACTTAAGACAAATCGGTTGATTTTTAATAATGTTGGCCACCATCTTGGATCCGCCGTCTTAAATTTAGGTTATTCCACCCCAAATTCGTGATCAGCGACCCAAAATATCCCTGAACACCAAATTTGGTACAAATCGGTTGATTTTTATTAATTTTTGCCAACATTTTGGATTCGCCATTTTGAATTTGGCTAATTGAACGCCATATTTATAATTATCGATCATAAAAACCCTTGAATACTAGATTTGGTACAAATCAGTTGATTTTTGATAATTTTGGCTGACATTTTGGTTTCGCCATGTTGAATGTGGCTAACTTGACCCCAAATTCGTGATCAGCGACTCAAAAAACCCCTGGATACTGAATTTGGTACAAATCGGTTGATTTTTGATAATTTTGGCCGCCATCTTGGATCTGGCATCTTGAATTTGGCTAACTTGACCCTGAATTCGTGATAAGCGATACGAATAGGTGCAAATTTATTCATTTTTACCACGTTTTTATGTACTCTGTGTAATCGGACTATCAATATTTATCAAATATGGGGAGAATCACGTCAACCGTCCCAGTGCCGCGGTGGACGGCCCACGCGGGCGTCAAACACGACGTTTTCAGTTCGTCGTTTCGGAGTCAAAACTTTGATAAAAAAATTATCTAAAAACATATTCTTATGTATTTTGTCCTCAACTTTCTAGTGGTGGCATCAATTTTTAAAAAATTTTCTCCCATAATCTCGAAAAATGCATTTGTTTGAAAAGCACGTTTTATCTCCATGATCTTCAACTTTTAGAATTTTTTGATAGTCTAGATCGAAAGATGAGACATTTTTACATAGATATCGACAATGAAAGAAGAGGGGTCTTTCGTTTTCATAACGTATTTAAACGACGAATGAGACGATGCGAGCCGCGGTGGCCGGGGGCCATGTGCGGCAGTAGCGCGCCGTCTGCTACCGTCTCTCTGACAGGATGTTAACAAATACACCTAACCGTGACAGTTGGCAATTGGCAAGAAGTTTTGATTGATTAATTAAATATTAGTATCTATGTTTTTTATGATTTGAGGTTGTTCTATCGTAAGTTGAAGTTTTCGTAGGTTTTGTCATTATTTTTAATTCGTAATGTTATTCTTTTTAACTTTTTCACGTAGGTTATGTGATTGCAATAGAGAATCAAAGTGAGCTTTATATTTACGCATTTATCAGTATATTTCAGAAGGGATTTGATTTTTTATAACTCGCTTTCAATTTCAAGTACTTAAGATGGTAAAATGTTGCAATCCATTGAATATAGATCACCATAACGTCAAAAAGAGTTTGATTACATTTCCACAATCTTTGAAAGAAATATTCCCGCTTGTTCAAAATAATGCTTTGATATGTCTAAAGTGCAAGGTAGAAGCCTGTAAGTATGAATCTGTAAAAAGTATTTAAGATGAGAAGAATCGTAAAGCGGGCATCGCAGTATTAGAGCAAATTAAGGAGAAATTTGCATTATCTAACGATAAGCGAGAGAGAATCACGTTGATCACCCTCACCCCGAAATTTTGGAACCGATGAGAGCTTATGAACGAATTTGGTTGCACAGATAGAGAAGCTAGGCAAGCTTCAAATTTAGTTGCAGAACGTGGCATACTCTCATGGCCTGATAAAAAAAAAGAAAAAGTTTTATCTGCTGATGTTGAGGTCTGCGTAAAAAATTTTTACGAGCGTGACAGTGTCAGCCGCTTGATGCCCGGATTAAAAGATAATGTTTCTGTGAAACAGGATAATGGTCAACGTGTTTATGTACAAAAACTATTATTACTTGGAAATTTGAACGAACTATTTATTTTATTCAAAGAAGAGCATGAAAATGTTAAAGTTGGTCTCACGAAATTCGTACAGCTCAGACCTCCTCACTGTATCTTAGCCGGAAGTAGTGGCACGCATAACGTTTGCGTATGCGTGAATCACGAAAACGTAAAACTGATGCTAGATGCACTAAATTTAGAAGAATTAACGAAACCCACGGCAACACCTCTTAAAAATTTCACGGACTGTTGGAACGCCATTGTTTGCGATAATCCTTCTGAAAATTGTTTTTTAGGAAAATGTTAAGATTGTCCCAATTTTGGAAAACTTCGAAGATTATTATTAGATTCACTAGAAGCTGAAGGAATTTTTGAAATCAATTATGACGCATGGACGCAACCTGATCGGTGCACGATAACATCCAATAAAATCCGAATTCGTAAATTTTTAGATTTACTTGGCGAGAAGTTAATGAAGTTGAAGACACATGATTATTTCGCAAAAAAACAAGCATCATTCGTAAAAAATTTGAAAAATAATTTGGCTGACGATGGATTTATTGTTAGCTTTGATTTTGCGGAAAATTACCCATTCGTGCTTCAAAACTTGGTACAGTCTTTTTACTGGAATAACAACCAGGCTACGATATTTACGTGCGTTGTGTACTATCAAGAAAACAATGAATTAAAACATAAAAGCTTAGCAGTGATATCGGATAACCTTTTGCACGACACGGTTGCCGTACAAGATTACCAAAAAATTATCGTCGATTATTTAAAAAGAGATTTCAATTCGAAAAAAATTTATTACGTGAGTGACGGCGCATCGCAACACTTTAAAAACAAAACTAACTTTCATGTTCTGTTGAATCACGAAAAGAAGTTTAGGATTCCAGCGGAGTGGCACTTTCACGTGACTGCTCACGGAAAAGGAGGATGTGATGGGGTAGGCGCGAATTTGAAACGTGGATCTAGAAGGTCAAGTTTGCAACTCTCTTCCAGAAACCATATTCTAACGGCACAAGATCTTTTTTACTGTGCGGAAAAACACTGCAAAGAAACGAAGGTTTTTTTTAGTAGCAAATCTGACTACGAAGAAACTTCCTTAAGATTAAAAGACGAAATTTCCAGTGTGAAACTGATTTCAGGGACACTGAATTATCATGCGTTTAATCCCATTAAGGATAATAAATTAATGTTGAAGAAAACTTCTTAGAGTAACCAGTATGTAATTTTTCTGAAACTGAAAGAACGTAAGACAAGTGTCAATTTGATTACCATGCCTAAAGAAAAAAAGAGAACGAAGTAAAACAAATTTGTCTTTATTTTTTACTTTATTTATGTAAATATCTACTATTNACAACTTTCGTCTAGTTTTTGTAGCATGTGGCTTTTTTTTGAGCCTAAAAAACCTAAGACTTTTACTTACCGCACATGTAGACGAAGTGCTTCTTTTTTTGAACCCACATTTTTGGACCTCTTTATCATCAATTCTATCTTGGAATCTACATAGGATGTTTAGAAGAACCCTGAGGTACGGAAGTCGTGAGAGGCCTGCTATAAGATGATCTATCAAAACATTCTTTATTTATCCATTGTAAACCCTGGTTTACTAATTGTTGTTTACATCGCCACTACTATATTATATATTATGTAGCCAAACAGACTCACCGTAGCAGACGACACACGGCAGTCGTGCTGCTGCCACACGTGGCCCAGCCGCCACGGCTCGCATCGTCTCGTTCGTCATTTAAATACGTTATAAAAACAAAAAATGCCTCTTCTTTTATTGTCGATATCTATGTAAAAATGTCTCATCTTTCGATCTAGACAATCAAAAAAATTCCAAAAGTTGAAGATCATGGAGATAAAACGTGCTTTTCAAACAAGTGCATTTTTCGAGGTTATGGGAGAAAATTTTTAAAAAACTGATGCCACAACTGGAAAGCTTAGTCTACTCAGAACGCGTCTGCAGGCAGCCAAGGTGGAGATAGGACATCTTTTGGAGCAAGGCATTGTTTGCTCCTCGTCCAGCCAGTGGGTGGGTCCTTTCTACCTCGTTGAGAAGTCCAGCAGAGGCTGGAGACTCACTGGGGACTACCATCATCTGAATGCTCGTACAACTCCGGACTACTACCCCCTGCCAATCATTGACGATCTGATGCAGAAGGCATCTGGGAAAGGTCTTCTCCGTCATAGACTTGCGAAAGGCCTTTTACCAGATCTCTATTACTCAAGAGGACATTACAAAGACAGCCATCATGACTCCGTTTGGCCTCTTCGAGCTCACGAGGTCCTCCATGGGACTCCACAATGCAGCGCAGTCACTGCAGCGGACGATGAACTACGTCCTGCGCGAGCTTTCCTTCGCCAGGTACTATCTGGACGACATCTTCGTGGCCTCTAAGAACCACGAGCAGCATCTCCAGCACCTGCGCCAGCTCTTCGAAGTCTAAGGTAAGGCAAAGCTTTACGTAAACCCGCAGAAGTACGTCCTTGGACCAGGTCGACTACCTGGGCCATACGGTATCTGCCAATGGCGTCCGCCCTCCAGCACGCAAAGTCCAGGATATCCAGGACTTTCCAAGACCAGGCATGATTAACTTTTACAGGCGTTGTATACCAAAAGCTGCTTGTGCCATGGGTCCCCTCAAGAACTTATTAAAGGACCTGCCACCCAGGAGTAAGAAGGCTTCGCTCGCCTGGACGCCCAAAGCCAATGCCACCTTCCAACAGTGCAAGGAGGCACTGGCAAGAGCCACTACGACAACGTTCCTCAGGCCAAATGCTTTGGTCGCCCTGAGGATCGAAGCATCTGACACCGCCATCGGAGCAGCTCTAGAGCAGGAGTACCCACGTAGCACCTGGTGGCCACTCGGTTTTTTTTTACGGAAGCTTTCCAAGACCAAAAAGAGATAAGTGACCTACGACAAGGAGCTCCTTGCCATCTACGCCTCAATCAAGGTCTTCAAACGCCTTAGGGGTCCTGCTATCCTGCAACACCAGGTAACTCTTGCTCATGTCAAAAGAGAGGACAACGTAGTGGCCGGTGCCCTTTCGCGCATCAACGCTGTATTCATGCCCTTAATCCTGGAGCCCCAGGTTATAGCCAACGCTCAAGCCGAGGATGACGAACTCTATCATCTGCTAAAAGATCCTCATCTCGATCTGCAGGCACTCATCATAGATGGTCATTGCATTTTTTGCGATCTCTCCATGGAAAACCTGAGGCTATGTGTATCTAAGAGTCACTGCAAGACAGCTTTCAAGATTCTCCACAATCTGGCGCATCCCAGCGTCAGAGAAATGGTCCACCTCATCTCAGAAAAGTTCATGTGGCCCAAAATGCGTAAAGACGCTACACGCTGGGCTCAGCAGTGTGAGCCCTGTGAGCATTCCAAGGTCAACTGACATAATCCAGCTCTAGGCAATTTTAACACGCCAGATAGCACTCTCCACATTTAATGCCTGTGCCTGGCCCACCACCAACGCCTTCTGAAGCCCCACAGCCCACCCAGCCATTGGCAGAGCCAGCTCCGACAACTGCCAAGACCAGAAGAGTATCGTTTTTTTTGTCTCTGGCAAACAACACTTAAGGAGGAGTCCCTGTGGTGGCACCAGCCATCCGAAGCCAAAAACCAGCTTCGCGCCGCACGCAACAGCTCATCCCGCGAGCGCTGTGGTAGCGCGCTCAAGCAGAGATTGCCGTCAACAGCTTGAGCCCCCACTCTCCTGGGCAGCACCTACCTTTAGTTGGCGATGAAGAGAGCGCAACTTGCTCTCACTCTCACCCCACATTTCGACCAGCGACAATGTAGGCACGTGCCTCGCTTATACAGTCAACGCTTCGAGACGTCTCCAATGTTATTGTACTCTTGCTCTAAATAATGATTTGTTTTTTGTCAGATCAAGAAACACAGATCTTATGACCTTTAATTTTTTCTTCCCTTTACATTTTACATTTTAAGTATTTCAAGTGGTTTATTATTGACTTTAGGAGATAGTGTTGAAAAAGTGGCATTGTTAAGCTTGGACAGCTTAAGACTGTCATTTGAAAAGTACATAAAAGTTCTCGAAGCTTTAACAAAAGGCACAGATTTTTATTGAGATAAGAAAGTTCAAAAGTATCGATGTATAAAATACTTTTAAAAAATCAAATTAGATATATGTGCAAGGACTATAAAAATAGTTAAGGAAAGATATTTATTGCTTTAACTGTAAGACAAAGTCTTTACTTACATAGTACTTTTTTTAAAGTTCTTCTAAAAGTCTTTACTTACTGAGTAGTGTTTACAGAACATGTGATTTACATAAAGATACAAACTTAAGAATGTAGCAATCAGCAATGGATATCAAAAAATGTTGATCTAACTTAATAAATTCGACTGTATTTTAATTAAATTCTAAACACAAACAAAAAAACAGAAATATTTATAATTAACAAACAATAAAACTGAGTATTTTTTAAGGACTTATGTTTGTTAAACGATCTTATAATGAGGTACAACAGTTTAACTTAACTTAAAAGATTATAAAAACGGTTATAGTAGCTTATAGACTATGGTGAAAATAATAATGATAATAGTTAATAGTAATAAAATCACTTTTTTTTTTTAAGTAAAAAGTATATTTTATAATGATATAAATAATAAAATAACAGTATTTATATTACAAATGGTTTTAAAAATCATAACTGTAGCAATACTAATTATTGCTTACCAATTTCAACAGACAACAAACTTAAGCAAAACAGTTACATTTATTTGTATTGGTTTTTAAAGTTTTAGTATTTCAGGTTATCCTAAGTAAGTCTTATCACTTGTGTCTCATAACATGGAATCTACATAGGATGTTTAGAAGAACCCTGAGGTACGGAAGTCGTGAGAGGCCTGCTATAAGATGATCCCTGATATTTTTGCATTATGAGTGGCCTCCATCACCTACCTTAGCTGCAATACATGAAGTATTATCAAGCAAACGGACATGGTTTAATATCTTTTTAGCACATCCTGAAGGCTGTCGTAAGCTCTTTAAAGTTTGCAAGAAGTTTGTATATAAATGCTTTTGCTATCTGTTAGCATGCAGCATTATCTGCGAAAGCTTGTCAATTGCTTCTCTATTGTGTATGCTTCCGTGAATGATCAAGTTGTATCCGTACGTAGCACTAGCTACAGTCCTACATACTTGATAAAGTCCTGTATAGTATAGTGTATATAATGTGAAAATGCGCGTGTGCTGGTGTTAGCACTACTGCTGTGGTGTACATACTTTTGTCACCGTTATTGTCAATATAAACTTATGTTACTACATGGTTATTTGAGCATTGTATATGTTTATTAAAGTTATGTACACATACCGTTTATTATTTTATTACTAAAGGGTACTCTACTAGACATTGAGTTGTCGGTGTTACTTAACGCTGCTGCTATACGTACTGTAAAAAAGTTTACTTTATTTTTTGCTGAGAATGCCACCGCTGACTTTATTATTCTGCTGCAGCAGTTTCGTAACAAAAATGATGTTATTATATCTGTTTTTTTTGTCTCTGCCACTCCACCGCTTATTTCAACTGTGTTGCTGCTCTTGACGGTACTATTGTGCATATCTTCGCTGCTTTTACCTCTCGAGCAATGCTGCAGTAGTTCATTTGTCAATGCCACTAGCACTAGTTAAAATAAGCCTTGTTTAAATGTACGTTCATATACCTTCTGGTATTTGTTGTACTTAATAGCTATAATCTGAAATATAGATCAATACTGTAACATCATTTTTTAAGAAGATACATTCAAGCTCTAAAAGAAAGTTGTAGCTGACTGATTATTGGATCTTAGATCTAAGTCAAACTATTAAATAGATCAAACTGAGTTTAGTAATTATTTTTATATTTTTGTGTGTTTTGAGCTTATAAAAATAATAATGAGCTAAGGCATGAGAATTAAACAAAGTTTTTCTGTTACCACAGTTATAATTCTATGCAACGTCTCTTAATACCGATGTCATATTTAGTGGCGTTAGTCCACTATCAATAATAGCTACAATACAAAATTCATAAGGCAGCAGCCTCACTGATCTATCAATATCAATGCTTTATAAGAACCACATTTAGATTTGCAAGCACCACCTTTTCGAGAAATATGATATTTGAAATTTGCTCTTCTTTCTGACATATCCAGTCCTATATAGAATCATTATTGCACTTTAAGGTGTAAATAGAGATGCGGTCTCGTCATTTTTCTAAACAATTAGCTGACCATTACTCTTATACACAAGTTTGCTTTAGCAAAAACTTATTTAAGTCGTTTTCAATATTCATAATTTTATAGAATAAGACGTCTAATGGCAGTTAGTGAATAGTTACAAACGACATCCCAGGGTGGTACTGTCACATTTTTGTATTCATGCAAAAACCAAAATAAAAATCCCAGTAGTTGGGACAACGTCCTGGTCCTTGTTAGGTACACAAGTCTATAAGTAATAAAAATATTTTTTACAATACAAATCTTGATAAAATTTAAAAAATGATATTTTAAAAAGCACAGGCCCCCTAATCTGTGTACATGAAGTTAATCCTTTTTCCTCATTTACTTAAAAAAAGATGTATAACAATTTTTTTATTTATTTTTATCTTGTTCTCTATGAATATTATTACTAAAGTTAAGTATGTTTGACATATCGGAAAAACGCGTTTTCGTAATGGTTTTTTTTGTCTGAATGGTTTGTTTTATCAAAATTCAAGTTATGTGTAAATTCAAAACTGTGTTGTAAAAGTACAGATCTATCCTTTCTCTTCTTTATGTCTTTGATTTGTGCTGCCATTCCTAATTGAGAGCTCTCTATGTTAAACTATTATAACAGCAGTTGCAATTAATATCTGGCGTGTGTTAAAAGACATCTTTTATCAAGTGAGTCAGTTACATGCGTATCGAAAAAAAAAATTAAATTCAACACAATAATTAAACTAAACACAGGACAAATGTTAAGTTTTTATTAATAATATTTATTATGAATGTGCAAGTGGGTAATAAATAGTAACAATATGATCAGCTCATGATTATTATTATTTCTACTCTGATTGTCAAGTATACTCATGGTTTGTAAGGGACTTTTTCTTTTATTCACAAATTAGTAACAAATTTTTAAGCATTGTTGTTTGCTCGTGAAAACGTATTAATCAATCTTTAATTATTATTATTCAGTTAACTATTTGCTTGTTTAAAAAAAAGTCTACTAGTATGTTAATAATACCTATTTTATGTTGGATTTGATAGTGGGAGAGAAAATTCAAGCATCAGCTAAAATGTGTGGATTTTGAATACATACTAGTTAATACTGTTATTTTTTTTTAATAAAAATTTTTACATCTAAGAAACTAATGCATTATTATTGTTACAATGATTCTTATCAGCTAAGACAACATGGTTCATAATTTAAAGAACTTAAATCTATTTGATGTGGCTCATCACTCTCGTACTATCCGTTTTTGTGACATAAGACTATTATACCTGAAAACATTAAGTAGCACGCTAAATATGTGCACCTATATATACAAATGTGTTTATATACGTGCTGAGCTGAGCTTCTAGTTTCAGGCTTCCAACACGTCATATATTCTTTTTTTTGCTCAACACCCTTGGACTTACCTTAAAAAAAAAAAAATATTCAAACAACTTTCGTCTAGTTTTTGTAGCATGTGGCTTTTTTTTGAGCCTAAAAAACCTAAGACTTTTACTTACCGCACATGTAGACGAAGTGCTTCTTTTTTTGAACCCACATTTTTGGACCTCTTTATCATCAATTCTATCTTGCCTATCTATTCTTTGATTACCTTCTTTTATTACATCAAGTGGATACAGATGCCTATAAAAACGATGTCTATTAGATTTATTAAAATAAAAATTTCAATGAATCATTAATCATAAAAAATTTTCTAGTTTTTATACTTTAACAAGATATCTAGTGATATCTAATACTTTAAAAGTTAGTGACATACGTTCATTTAATGGTTTGTAAAAAAAAAGTAATTTATAAGTGCATGTGATAAATCATTATTCTACTTTATTTTTTTTTTTTTTTTTGCTATTGCGTTGCTTTTATCGCAGGCTTTGAGAAAGACAATTAAATCACAAAATTCTGTAACAAAAAAAAATCCTAACACCTTCCAGTCGGCCTACCATGTAGCTTGGCCGAGCGTTCGCTAAACGTGTATGTATATGGTACGACTATACGAAGCTCGTACGGATCGAGACTAGCGGCTCCAAAATCAAATGATCACACCCACACACACACACACACACACACACACATATTTATTCTCTATTAAGTATAAAATAAAAACCATTTAACCAAGTACGTGTACTATTTAGAACCTATGATTTTTGTGTATAGATAATATACATTAATATTGCACAGAGAAAGTATCAGTGTTTTCGACTGCGGAAGGAAACTTAATGTAACCGTATCAGCTTACAGTCACTGAAACTAACGTCAGGGGTTACCTAGTAGGTGGTGGGCTGAAGTCGGGTGGCGCCTAATTTAAAAATAGAAGCCGCATAAAAAAAAATTAAAATCTGATTTATTTGGTAATCTAGTAACTCGATCAGTTGGAATACTTATATTCACGCTGATGATATAATTATCAATTGATTTTTATTTATTTCTCATTGAATATTATGCATTATAATAAGAAAAACTGAACAATTATAATTGCGTAAGTTACCAAGAAATTCTGTGCAATAGCTTTACCGCAGCAGTCCCGGAGTGCCACACCACACGTCTGATTTTTAGAACAAGGGCATTGAGCTTGTTATTGTATAATGAAAAATGCAAAGCTTGAGCACAAATGACCATGGTCGTCCTAGAGAGTATACACTGTACAGTAAAAATTATGATAAGAACCTTTTTAATAATAATATAATACAACATTGAAAGAATATTAACTTGAAATGGTACAGAACACGAATAGTCTTATTTCTGAAAAAGTGAGTTTGCGAGTACTTAGATGGTAGCCTTCAGAAGCACTTTTTTTCACTGTTTAATTGTTTGTATGTTTATCATTTAACACCAATTTTCTACCTGATAAATGGTTCTGTCTGTGCTATTAGAAACATTGTATATGGGCGGGCTATGTGTGTAACGACAGCGTGACTGAGTGTACAGGCAGGCAAACGAGAGCGTGCGTGGGAGTAGTATATAGCGAGCAAGCACACGAGTAAGAAGTTACCTGTAATAGCGCATTGACCTACACGTAGCACTATCATTCATACAAAAGGGAGTATTGAATAAACTGGCATCGAAGCCAGATCAACGAACCAAATCGACGATGAACTTATTCATTGAACACAAATACACAACAGTTGGCGACGAGGCCAGTAGGAACAAGTGAATAGTTTCGTTTGAATTCTCGTCGACGGTTAGGTGCAGTCACTTTTTTTGGTGGAAGAGCGCAAGTTATGCTTATAAAATGAAGTATCTCGAGAAATTTTTCTCCAACTTTACAGATAAGAATATTGATGTGAAGTACAAAAAACATTGATAACGGAAGAGCAGTTAAGAAACATTGGCAAGAAAGCCGAGAAAGTTACAAGTAAAATAGCTACCTTTGGAGCATCATTTCAATACTAGTTTTTATGCCAGGTGAGTCCAAATGAAAGAGATAGCTGCAAAGATTTGAAGGTGCTTTAGCCATCATGAAAGTTACGGACGATAAGTTATAAGCTACCTACTTGTTTTATTACGTAGGAGAAAAGGCTTACGATGTGCTGTGCAATACATTTGGCGATGTGACGGTGTCAACAAAGAAGTACGATGAGTTGACCGATAAGCTAAAAGAAATTAACGCTTCAATGACATTAGAAATAACTAAAAATTTTAAGTTCATTCTGTATTTTAAAGAACATATCAAAAATATTTAAAAAAAAAGATGTTAATAACAAATTTATGATATGCAATAATATATATTCCAAAAGGCATTGTTGACTATTACTAAGCGTTAAAACAAATTTTAGAAAGAGTTGAAAGCTACTTGTTAATATTCACCTTAATGTAAAAAGCAGAGTATTAAATGTGTAATCAATAACTTTTTGAAGAATCCAACATGACAATACAAATTATGCGAAATATAAAAGTGTTATACCGCTCTTATATTGGATAACGTGACCATATAAAGAGTTGCATAATAGAAGTCCAACAAACACAACATTAAATAACTCATTGCACATATTATAATGCTCAAGTATACTGACATCGTAATGAATAAGCTCATTTTAATTTGTGAACTAGGACGCTTTTTTCTCCACTTGAATAACTTATGCATTTTTTTACATTTACGTCACTAAATAAGGGTATACGATATAAATAGTTGTCTACAACAATAACTAACTGTTAGAGAAAATAACCGATTGAAATTAAGTTTGTTTGTTATAAATTCTATGAGCCTTATCAAAACTACAGTTTGTCGCGTATCTAATAGAAATCGTACGTTAACATTAATTTATAGATATTATTTTGTTTAATTACATTCTGATCTTCAATGACGTTTATTTTAACCAAAACAATAATTACTATCGTAATAATTTTTTTATTAGAGCTTTTATTTTAATTCTGATTTTTCTATCGCTTTGACAGAATAAGATATTATTATCTTTTTTTTTATGTTTAAAAAATAATTGTTCGTATAAACATTGAAACCAACATCCTAAGTAGATGCTTTTTTTCTAAAAAATATCAGTACAATGATATGTTTACAAACAGAGGTATTGAAGCGTCTTTGAACCACACCACATAAATGATTGCTTTAGCAAAGCATGACTCAATAGGACACTGTCTATTACACCTTCTTTTTACCGTACTTTAGCTTTCATGGATTAAATTAAAATATCACCAACAACTAACTACACTAACAACTATAAGTAAAATGTTTGAAAAAAAATATGTAGTCTTCAATATTAATTTTTAATAAGATGATTGAGAATTCTTATTCTTACATGTAAATGTTAAATGTAAATAAGATTATTGACCAGCAACTCCTAAGACACCAGAAAGATAATTTTAAGGGTAAGATTTTGACCTTAAAAGTTTGTTCTATTTCTGTCATTTTGAGGATTTGTTTTGATAAGATGCAACCACCCTGTTATAATTTTTAACCATGGGTTTGGAATCAATAAATCCAAAACTTCTTACGAACGATTTTTGATGTAAAACTTAGAACAATAAAAATCTCCTGTATCTTACAACTTCTAGGAGTGGTTTAGATGAGGTGCAAGCAAACAAAAGCACTGTTTAGATTGTTGGCATCAACTGCTACACTGCATAGAGCTTCTTCGATACTTGGCTTACCACTTCTGGCATCTAGAACGTAACCATCTCTTGACGCTGGGTATCATTAGGTCCATGTTAAAACAGTCCACAGAAGATCTACACGATTTGCTCCATATCTCGAGCACCATCAAGACCAACTTGGATCTGTCAACTATACGAGCCTGAAAGAACGGGTTGGAGGAAGCTAACCTGAAGCGAGAGATCAATTTAGCAACCTTTGCCATCTTGGTGGCGTCTCTTTATCACTACTGTTGTGCTATTTACGTACAACTGCAATCTTAACAGTTGCCTGGAACTTTTGCATCATAAAAACTTATAAAAGCTTTCTAACCTGCCCCATTTCTCATGGCGCTGATTATAGTATTCACTGGACTATATTTTAGGATTGGATCATGACTGCCAAGAAGTACATTGTGTAGCGTGAAAAGCTTTGCTTTAACTAATTTAAGTGGGCAGTCTCTCAGCAATGTTTTTTTAAGGTATGTCTGCCACCATAGCATTCTGCACGACATATAAAAGTGTTACGTGGAAGGTCAGGAAAACAATATTTCAAAGAAATGGGCCAAGAGTAAGAACAAAATCTCACTGTGAAGTTGATGTCAAAATCCTTAAACACTAACAATAGTTATTTCTGCTTCTAATCACACTTGCACACCTTAGCAATAGCCAGGATTGCACAGTGCTCTTCAGAGCACTTTTCAGTACATTATTTAAGATCACTGTCTTGTCAGGGTAAATCTCCCACCGATCCGCCGGACACTCGTCACTCATCAAGCACTACCCTTGTCTGCTCAACTCAATGAGACCAGGCTTGATCAGGGCAGATAAAACGTTGTGTGGCTTCTTTTAAAGCAGGACTCTCTCTATTTCCTTGGTGACTGTTTTTAGAGTACCCAGGCCTCCTTAAAATTTCTAAAAACTTGCCGTAGTCAGAACCTAGATATGGCCATCGAGTACTTTTGCTTCATGAACGAAAACGTCACACTGGAGCATGTGAGGCCGTTGCTCGACGTGCTGGCCTCTGCCTTGACAGTTCCAGTATACTACATCACGCACCCCGGCAGTTGGCAACGCAGAGATCAGTCATCAAAGCTGTGTGGCATCTTTAATGCTTCGTACGTGATAGTACTGGAGCTAAGTAAGACATTCCTGATCTGCATTAATTTGAGCCAGGAACGTCTCTTGACGAAGTAACTCTCTCTGCCTTAGCGTGGCAGTCACTGCCAAAGCATTATTTCTGGATGTATCTCAAGGCGTTTGTTCCTACTTATGCAGTTCTTCAGATCAGTAAATGGCTTGACTACTTCACACTGACCAATGAGAAGTAGTATCCTTCGATTTTTCGTGGCACATGGGCTCTGTCCCACCTTGTCATTGCCTGAGTGTAATTTGGAGCACTGCATGGAGGCTTCTAAAAACCAGCATTTAATGTGAGCTGTGCCCTCATATGATTCACAGTACTGGGTAATTTTATCCCTCCTGCATCTTTTGTCAGCACAGACAGTGGTTCAACACATGGCGTACACTGGTCAGGATCGTCC